GCAATTCCAAATCGCAATTCCAAAAAATTCCCAGGAATCATTGTATATGTCTTCAACCCCAAGTGCAATTTGACCGAATCTCTTCGCACATATTTACTTGCAGCCAATTCCAAAAGCTTTCGTTACTATTCCAACGAGCTATTACTCGTGCTGGCTTCAATCTCGCAAGAAATTGCCACGCGATCGCTTCTGACCCCTACGCCATTCCAAAACTGACCTACCCACTACTGATCCTAAGAAATTGTAGAATCCTCGAAAGATTCGCACCCGATTCGCATCCAAACAATTCCAGAGGGACACCCGAGATATTCCACCGTTACTGCGAGAACCTAACAACAATAGTCCCTTCGACCTCGCAAAGAGAGCAGCCACGTGATCACCACGAATCTCGCGCCATTGCAAAATCCATTCGTCGATAATTCCGAGCAACTCTAAAACCCCTCTTACATCAGAAAATTCCCGCAAAACTCTGAAATTCCACGCAATTCCAGTACTCCTTGATTGCAATTACAATTCCTGCCTTCGATGCCGAAAGAAAACTCCCGCAAAGCTCTGTAATTCCAAGCAATTCCATTACCCATCGTTGTGATCCTCGATTGCAATTACAATTCCTACTTTCGACGCCGAAAAATTCCCACAAAACTCTGAAATTCCAAGCAATTCCAGTACTCATCGTTGTAATCCTCGATTAAAATTACAATTCCTAGTTTCGACACCCGCCACGCGATCCCAATCCTACGGATCCAACCTCCAGAGGCCTCTACCTGTACTCTACCCCTAATACACATCCATCTCCGGCGAATCGAGTGCACTTCCGTTCAGGGGACGTAACCTGTCCGATTCGCAAATGAATTCGCTAATTACGACCCGTTTCAATTCGTCGCGAAGACCCAAACGCGGACGCGAGTCCATTATGCGGGGGCCATCGGATCCCCAGGTTCAAAGAGAGACATAGATAGAGATGGATAGAGGCACAGGTTTATCGGCGGTTGATCACCAGCAACGATGTAATTTGCACCGATTTTATTGGCCGATCCAGACCCTCCGTTAATAAGCTTTCTAAACAGGAAACCACGCTGGAAAACGCGGATGAAAAAGAGCGGGAGGACGCGATGGAGACACGGAGGTGGCGCGTAATGACTTTCCATAGGCGGAAGGAGATAAAACCGAACGACGGCGGGAAAAGGCAGTCCTTAACGAGAAATTTATGCTCTGCCACCGCGCGCGGATTACGCCGACGGAAACGCGATTCTTTTCGAATTATATCCGACGCGAATGGACGTTACGTTGCGTGTATGCGACGTGCACGCGGGTTACGTGCGTGAACGCGTTACGTCGGCAAATGGAGTTTAGATTGCGACCCGTGCAAGGAATGAACTGCTAACCCTTTCGGATCTAACACGCAGACTGCAATCGTCATTCGAGAGTAGGTTAGGCACTTACGCGCAGTTTTGCCAGCGTTTGAAAACGGTGGCTTGTTCTGCGCGAGTGTGCAGTATAAGCACCGTGGGAACGGGAAATTCGTTTGGAAAATGGGAGACTGTTATCGAGGGAAATTCCACAGTGATATTCTGGATAGAGATGATATGCATTGGTTCATGATAGAAACGCCATTTTGGATTAGTGAACCTTTTTTGATAAATAATTGTTTTTGGGGTTAGGTTAGGAAACTATGAGATTAGAAAGGCAATTGTATGGTGCTATATAGAATAGAGAAAATCATATACTCTTTGATGATGAAGAGTCGAATTGGATACCACCTATATTAGTTGATGATGGAGAGTCCTTTTTGGAGCAAAGAACTTTTGTTTCATAAATAATAATTTTTTGAGTTTTTACAGCGTGGAATTTGGTTCAAAAAATATGAAATTAAAAAAGGAAATTGTATGGTGGTACACAGAATAAAGAAAATCGCATACTCTTCCATGATGAACAGTCGATTTTGAATCAATAAACTATTTTTACTGTATAGTAATTTTGGGATGGTAACAAAATGAAATTTGATTTGGAAAATGAGAAATTATTAAGGGGAATTCTATGATGGTATTTATAATGGTTACGAAATTTTGTTTGATATAATTAAGTGAATCCCCCACTTATTAAACCGACTAACACCATAAATCTCAAAAACAATATTTTCTAAAATATTTAATTAGTACCGAAATTTGTAAAAATTCGAAAAATGGAGTCAATTATTTTGGCCTGCGAATATCCTGAATAAAAAATTAAAAATGGATAACATTTTCCGATTACAAAATTATTATTAATTAAAAACACACGTAATAGGAAAAATATATGGTATCAATCATCAATAAATATTTTCGATATCCAGATATTATTTTATCTCAGGTTTTAATGGAGGAAACACCTATTCGATTTAATCAGATCTAGGAATCACGTGAAATCTGATTTTGATTTCGATTGCGGCTGAATTAATTTCTTCTATATCGAGAGTCGATACTTGCCTACATCTGTATTATAGCAGACGTCTTATTTAAACAGAGGATCGACAGATTATTTTCCATAATTGAAACAGCGCTATCGGGCGGCGTCATAAAGCGCGCCATATGCCGCATCTTCATGAAGCGTCGTGCTTTTATCGCGTATCATTGTCTCTATATTATTATATCGCGCTGTATCGCAGCCGTTTAATGCGGATTATTACGAGAACCAGCCCTAATAGATACGTATCGACCTCAGTTGCCCACCCCTGACTCTCGTTTCTGATAATAAATCGAAATTAGCTCCTGGTAGATAACCTAACACCAAGCATCTCCAAATGCAGAATAAACGTAAAAAATTTGCGATAGAAACATAATTATCTTCTTCCATCTAATCCATCAAATGACAATCTAATAACAAAATTAGGAAAACGTTATACTTGTCAAAAATATTTTACTTTTGCAATCATGAAAAAATTATAGCTATACCGATTTTATTCTTCAAACCAAATGGAATTATAATCGCGTGTACCGTTTTATGATTATTATACCTGTTTAATTAGTATCAACCAAGTAAACTGTATTCAGATATATATTATACAATGCCTATGTGAAATTAAAACCAATACAAGGTCTCAAAGTGGTTGAAAAAAATATAAGATGTTCAGTTTTACGATCCTTAAGTTCACTCGAGTATCAGAGAATCGAGGCAGACTAATCTCGCAGAGTGTCCCAACAGGGAAAAACATCCACGCCCAGTGATTTCCCCATCTCACTGACTCCCCTGCCTGCCCCGAAAAAAGAATTAAAAAACCTGGCTTTTGAACCATCGAGCGCGAAACTACCCAAGAAGACACTGGAAATGCTGAAACAAAGTTAGCCTGATTCGCGACGATAGCCGGTCCGACGATAGCCCGTCTCGCGAACCACCCCTGAAATCAATATGGAGGATAGCATGGTCCCATCGCAGCAACATATAGCAATAGTAACATCAAATCTCTATCGACCTCCACCCACGCTCTAAACCCTGCCGTTCAAAACAATTTCACCGGGAACGATGCTTCACCGTCCATTATCCGTCGATTCGACACCGGAAACCAGGCGTACGTACGCCTGCACGGTAGCGCGTCGGCTGAAGGGCGGCGAGGAAGGAAGCAGCGATGCCGGGATAAATTATTCATCCTCCGTTGGAAAACGAACGAAAGGTTCGTTCGCTGGCGATCATTAGATTGGTCGAACGCCAAAACGCCTAACCCGAATGAGAAACAGAAAGATGGGAAGCGGGTGGACAGGGGTAAGGATGACATTAGTTACGTCATCCTCGCAGCAATGATTTAGCCGGATGAAGTAACCGAATTCTCGTTGACACGTGCATCGCCATACGTAGAAACGGCGGAGGAACAAGCCAAATGGACCATCGGGAGCAAATAACTCGATTTGCTCGGTCTACGCGTACTTGACTGGCTGGAGAGCGAGCCGGAGACGGGTCCGGTAGGAGGGCACCGGAGACAGAGAAACGGACCGCGGAGGGTAGCGGGTGAGAGAGAGAGGGACGAAGAGGGTGCACGCAGTCAGGGTGGAAGGAAGCAAGGAAGCAAGGAAGTTATCGAGGCGGTAGTGTCACCATAGTCATACAGAGGTGCCCAGTTGTCGAGCAAACTAGCGGAGCCAGTCAGCCAAACAGCTCAGCCAAGCCAGCTAGCCGGCCAGCCAGCCAACCAGCCAGCAGCCAGTAAGCGAACCAGCGAGTTCTTGTTTTATTCAGTCGGGATCATAAATTACGAATTTAAACACACAATGAAAGACGCTTAACAAGAAGCTAACGCGAGATTGAGAGGCCCCGCCCGGAACACCTCTTCTTCCGGAGGAACGACCCGACACCGGCCAATCCGGCTGCAGAACCGCCCTTCGTCGTTCAGCCGACCCACCGTTTCCACGCCAATCCACACGCTCCATCGACGGAACAGCCGGCCAGAACCGACCTATCGGTGCGCAGTGAGAACCCAAAACCCAAACCCGAACCTAACCCGAACCCCCCGACCATGCCTCGAGGAGTTAAGTCGCCTCGGACTCGCTGCTCCCCGATGCACCCCAGTCGCATACCACTTGGCGAGCCGAGTCCCTCGGCTAACCCCCATTAGTATAGTGTCCTCTAGCGTGATTACACGATATCCAACGACGTGATCGCATCCGTGTCCGTGTTTCTTCACGTTTCTTCATCAATCTCATTCACTCGGTCCTCGAAAGCAGGATCACCCCCAGTCCGGTTCGATTATCCTCCCATCGGATCAACCTGGACAGCGGTCCTTGGAATCTGTTCCAGTCAGTTATCCAGGACACTGGAGAACGAGTCGTAGATACGGGATGGATCAGAAGCAGGATAGTGATCGACGGTGAACGAGCAAGCTACCAGCCGGTCCAAGTGAGTGAGCATGTCCAGTGTGTATCAGTGACCGCGTTACGTGCGACTACATCCAACCAGCGAGGCCTTCGCCTGTACACCCGGTCTCTATCCCGGCCGACATTTTCCGCTCATTGCCGAACTATGCGTGGTGCGAGATGGTGTGTTCTCTGACCAACAATAATAACAACAACAACAGTGGTAAGAGCTGCAACGACACCGGTGGCGAGCAGCCCTGCACGGACCTGCAGTCGCGATCTAGCCCAGAGGTTCAGCCAAACGAGAACATGTCGTCGCTGAGCGACGCTCACAGGCGGAACAGCCACTTGGAGGGCGACAGGAGTTCGTCGGCGGGTTCTTCTTTGGGTTCGTGTTCGCCACCACCGGCATCCAGCCACTCGCCACCGCCGCCAAGACCACCATGGTTGCACGACTTCCACGCGGCGGCCGCGCCTCATGTTCTCCAGTTTTTGAACCTCAGCGCGGCCGGAGGTAGCATGCTAGCTAGCCAGCCTCTCGCCGCTCTGCACTCTATGGCTGAGAGGAGTCACCATCAGCAACATCAGCAGCATCAGCAGCAGCAGCAGCAGCAACAGCAGCAGCAGCAGCAGGCGCATCATCATCAGCAGCAGCAGCCGGCCGGGATACAATTGCCAAGGATCAGCGTGCCGTTGTCAACCATCACGCAGGGTCAGGCTTCGCCCACGGGGAGCGGAAAGCATAGTCCCGCGACGTCTATTACCTCCGTCGGAAGCAATCCGCATGGCATCGACACGATACTATCGCGGCCGGCGGCCACGCATCCTCAGGCGCCCGTGTCTGCGACACACGCCGCGCTCCAGCCGACGCCGCATCCGCAGCACATGACGGCGCCGCGGTACGGAATGCATGCGGGCTTCACTGCCTCTTCGGGTTCGTATTTTCGTTTCTTCTTCGACGGGCCTCCGAGGTGGCGATTCATTCCAGGTCGCGGGTTTGATCGATAAGAGGCGCGAGTTGGCCTTCTCGGAGTTACAGTGTGCCAGATGTAGACGGAGATGGGTAGCTGTAGTTGGTGTCTGGGAAATGTCCAGGTGTATAAAATGAGGAAATATCAGTTGGATATGGTATTTTTGTTCCTCTTTGTCGGATTTGCACTTGATATATGATAGCTGCTGGACCAATTCGTGAGAACTCTTCAGAATTGATTGACAAGGGCTAGGTATTTAGCTGTAGCTGGTGTCTAGCGTATGCTTAGGTATGAGAGATATCATTTGAATACAACTGAGTCAATTTTTGTACTTTGTTGGGGGATTTGGAATTAGTATTTGCTGATTGGTGGACTGACTAATAAGAAATATTAGGAATTAAGGGTTATGGAACACTTTGTTGGTACTTGCTGACTGTGAGGTTGATCGACAAGAGATAGGCAGCTGTAGCTGGTGTCTAAGGTATGCTTAGGTATGAGAAACGAAGAAATACTATTTGAATACAATTGAGTTAAATTTGTTTTTTGTTGGGTGTCATGAAATTAGTATTTTCTAGTTAAGAATTAACGATTAAGGAATACTTCATCGGTGCTTGCTGACTGTGAGATTGATTAACAACAGATAGGCAGCTTTAGCTGGTGTCTAAGGTATGCTTAGGTGTAAGAGACGAAGAAATACTATGTGAATACAATTGAGTTAAATTTGTTCTTTGTTGGGTGACATGAAATTAGTATTTGCTAGTTAAGAATTAACGATTAAGAAATACTTCATTGCTACTTGCTGATTGTGAAATTGATTGACGAGAGATAGGTAGAGTAAGACACAGACATATCATTCGAATAAAATTAAATTAATTTTTCTTTCTCGTTCTGGGATTTGAAAATTAGTATTCGATGTTAGAGGCTATTGGACTGATTGATACGAACTGTTAAGAATTGGCTGATAAGAAATACTTCATTAACATTTGCTGACTATGAGATTGATCGATAAGGACTGTTAACAGAGGGTTAATCGTGTGAACGATCGGGAATATTAAACTGTAGGCAAGATTGGTAGCATTTAGAGAAAAGTACAGATGTCTAAGGTAAATAAACGATATTCTAAAAATATTTTTAACACTTTCGGAGAGATTCGAAATCTGCTACTTTGGAATCGTAGACCCGACTAATAAGAGTTACCAATTGAAAGTTTGAAAATGGAACAACGTGTATAGTACGTAAAACAGAAGAAGCATAAACGAGATAAAAATAATTGGTTTCGTGTTTGTACTCGTTCCGAGATTAGTGTTCAAGTTTGGCACACGCGACAAATACATAGTAATTTGTTTAACGTCAATTCCGACACACTGTGACGTGACTTATATCACGATTTAATATCAGGATCAATATTGTGACTGCACAAAAGTTGCAGATGCATGAAAAGAAAAGAGATTATATTTATGGGGAATTATAAACAATACCCTGATATAAATTACATCAATTTCAAATTCGACATAAATTTGGAATTATTGGAAACACTTTTCATTAGAACCAGGCTAAGAAAATAATCAGTAGGGCAGTAGCAGCTATTAATATGGCAGAAAGTGACAAAATTTTTGAGAAAACAGAGACTGAATACCTATGATGCTATTTAGAAATATTTACCCATACACCTTGTCATAATCAAACCCTGACAAAATTTCTCAATGACATGTATGCATTAGGTTAATATTTTTATATTCTTTCACTTCTTATATAATTTTATTTGGACCAAGTCAGATGATTGATAAACAGAGAAAGGCAACAGACGAGGACTAGTTTTGCTAAATTAAGGGAACGCTATAATCGGTGGAAAATCGCCTAAAATTCAATAGAAGATGGCACTTTATATCAGTGACAATAATTCGCAAGAATATGGTGGAAAGAACGTGCAGAATCCGGGATTTTTATTCCGATTTGCACAACGCATACGCGGATATTAATTTCGTGCGAATTAATTTCAATAAAATCAAAAACGCCAGCAGTTCCAGATTTATAATTTGACCGACGTTATGATCGATCGTGTCGACAATCGAAGAATAAAAATGATCCCTCGTTCATGCGTAATATCATGGATTTATACGATATTTCATTCTGCTTAAATCTATCCTTCCAATTATTATTATTAATAATCCGCTATCTTAGCTCTTGAATCTTATTTACACTAGAACTACCTGTAACGTGTATCTAAATGTACTGTATGTATAGATAAGAACGTGGCACTAATAAAGTGATATGATGAAAATAAATATATCGTATCGTTTTTATTCCAATAAAATTTAATATTCATTTTATTAAAGCTAGGAACTTTTTAATAAGCCAACAAATAAAAGGTAGTTCTGGTGTTAAGGAAAATATTGGAAAAATCGTGTTGCGAGTCATCGTAAGTTAGATATCTCACTATCAAATCAGAGAAAAATAATTTTATCGAGACAGTGTGTCATTTAATGTGACGATTATCGAGATGAAAATAAAATTGCGAGAAAACATCATAGTTACTATATTATAAATACCTAACAAGAAACTTTATATTAATTACACCTAAATTTCACCCAGGAAGTATACTAATTAATGACAAATTGACGTTTAGATTTATTTATGAAGTCAAAAGACTATAATTCTAAATTGTCTATTAACCTAATAATTATTGTCTTAAATATCACGAAATTTCTTTATCTTGTTCATAATTTAGTAACGAGGAAACTTGAGTATGAAAACTAATTAGAGGAACAAAATAATTTTACAAAATGAATTATTAATTCCATTTCTGTTACCTACGAATGAAAAATCAAAATATTAATAATAATTTAATCAAAATCCAATAAAGAATACAATTACTTTACCCATTTATTTTATTTTATCACCCCTGTCTGCAAAAATAAGCAAATTTCTAGATACTCGTGAGGATTAGCATAACTACATAGAGACACCGCCTTTAGGCATCGTTTGTTACGAACAAAACGAAAAGAGGCAGCCATTAAAGATTATACAAGCAGAAACGAAAATGTAATAACATTACATTTATTTCCACGTTACTTACAACACTCTAATTCACAAAATGCGATATTTAGAAATTTATGATCACGTGTGATTAACCTAGTGAGCATTTAAAGGGCTGAAAAGAGGGTGTTAGCCTTGAAAAAGGCTCCGAATTAAGGAAAAGTACATAATTACGTAAAACTACTTACTTTCCCATTCAACTTTTCGACGAATAATTTTTCCAGAATTTTCCCACGATTTTCGCACACCTAATTTTGGAATCATTCGAGTTTACTAATCGCCCTGAGTATTCTGGCAAAATTCTATCATTCGCAAAGTTTTTCACGCGTCTTCTAATGCAATTCGAAATAGAAGATTCGCTTCTATTCTTTTATTTCCTCATCGAGTATGTCCGTTAAATTGTTTTAGTTGAAATTAAACGTGTCTTGCGCAAACACCGTTCCACCCTATGCACGAGCATAATCTGTATCTGTCCGGGGCTCTATCTTGAACTTGATCCCGGATTATCCGTGCATTTAAAATGATTAAAGCGCCAATTATTTACGGCCGTGTCGCGTTGCCGACGAAACGAAAGTGAATTTCGAATAATTTTCCCTACGCGATTACGAATCGTTATTCTTGATGGTGGACGAACTAGATCGTAAATTTTTCCCAATTTTCGTTGGTTGTTCGAAAAAATTTTATGAAAAGAAAAAGAGAAATAATTCCGACCTTAAAAGTGATAACTAGTACTCGTTGGTATTCTTGTTTGCATATAAGTAATCTATCTCTAATATTTTTTTATTCTTTATTTTTTATTTTGGACATTATTCGACATCCTTTTTTGAGGGGGTGTGATGTTTAAAAATTATTTAGAATATTTTTGTATTATTTCTGTATGACAACAGGGTAAATTGATTCAAGAAGGGCTGCGTAGATTTTTGAAGATTTTGGGGTGGTTTTTGTATCCTGAAATGGTTTTTGTTATTGATATTTTTAAGTTTTTTCATTTTTTCATTTTGTTTGGTTAAAAATCTTGGGGTATTTGTACTTGAAAGTAAGATGTCTTATGTGTACAACCGGTTGTAAAAGTATTTGTGCATAATTTGTATTTTTAACTTGTCTATAATTTGATTACTTTGTATTTTAAATAACTATGCAGTAAATCTACAAAAATGTATTGGATTAAATTGAAAAATAGCTAAATAGGCTATATTATATATATTTTATAAAAGAACACGAACACAACCCACACAAAATTGGACTCAATGTTGAAAGAATATTGAATGATTCTCGATTAATCATTTTCAAGTGAGATTATACCATAGAGATCCCCAAAAACACCCCAAAAATGAATAAAAGAAAATAATAACTTTGTATCTCTTTAAATTTCCCATAATCAGAATTTTCTTCACTTATGATAGACAGGAACCATAATTAACTATACATTTCCACTCTAATTCAAAATCTGGCAACGAACACTGGTTCCAGATAAATTATTTTCTTCCAAAAAAACGATAAACCAATAAAACATGGTAGTACATGGATAAATACATAAAATTAGATTTAAAAAATTTGAGAAGTCAGGAGATCAATGATTCTAAACGTCCACCCTCATGAAGACCACCTTGAACCCTAAAATCTACCATAAATATCACCCCAAACTAACATTTGCTATATTCACAGTAAAATGCACGGAAGAATGGGACAGTTTTACGATAGTGACAATAAATACCCATAAAATCTGTATCACCAGTTTTCATCTCTTTCAATAAGATCAGAATACAATTTCCATGAAGCAAAATTTCACCCATAATCACTCACAATCTTCGAGTTCTGCCTCTAAGATCCGTCAGTTTATCAGCGAGTGTGTTTTCTGATAATTTTACCATCATGCAAATCAATAAAGATAATTAATACCCCTGTTCCAAGTACAATCAAACTAGCT